CTCTGGGCGGTGATGGAGATGCGGGGCGGGGCCTGGCTCCCCGGCGGGATGGGGGGCGGGGCCTTTCTGAAGTTGAAGGCTGCGGCCAGGGACGCAGAGACGCAGCGGGTGAGAAAGGCATCCCGGCTACCTACCGTCCGTGTCCCGCCACCCCACACACCCACGCGGTGCCCAGGACTCCACGTGCTGCCACGCACAGAGCCAAAGGTTGTTCTCCCCATCATCCACCCCAGAGGGGCCAGCGACCTGCCCAAGGTCACAACGCGCGGCTGTGGCGGGGGTCAGAACCAGCACCCAGGGCTCTCTCCGACCTAGGGCCCAGCTGGGGGCAAGCGAGGCGTACTCACAGGAGCCGGGCCTCCCTGAGACAGAGGCAGGGGCAGCAAGGAGGGGCAGGCAGTCGTCGTCTTGAGAGCAGCCGGCCTGGATGGCCCGGAGGTAGCTGTGGCTCCGCATGCGGAAACAGCCGGGCAGGTCCAGGGCGTCCACGGCTTGGGACTCAAGCTCCCCAAACACAGACCCGCACACAGCCTCCAGTTGCTGGCTCAGCTCCTCGCTGAGCTGGGGACAGGGGCGAGAGGAGAGTTACCGGGGTGGAGGGGTGGGGGTGTCTCCGAGGCACTCTGCCATAGGACTATGTCTAGATCTGCAGAGGCGGTGTCTCTGTGCGACTCTTCTACATTTGGACTAAAAGAAACTCTCATTCTCTGCAAAGAAGGATGAAGGCGCCTCTGCCCTGTGCTGCTCCCCAAAATGCCTTAAGGCCAGACTTAGGGGTCCAGTCTTTCCTCTAAATACTCCTCCCTCCGCCCCATCTATGCCTCTCCCAGATGTGTGGCTGTACCTCAGCCTCCAGACCACCCCATCTTCCTCTCCACCTGTGCTCTGGGTGTAGGGCTAGCCCCTCACGTTTCTCTCACCTGACCCTGATGTGACAGGCACCCTCTTGCCCACTATGGGGGTGCAGGGCTGCAGGAAAGGCTAGCTTTTATTTTATTATTTATGATCCACTGTGTTGTAAATCTGATTGAAAGCAACTTACAGAGATATACACCATGTGGCAGGACAGAAATAACAGGTAAGGGATGGAGCAAAAATTATTAACTTTCAGGTTTCCAGGACTCCCCCACCTTCTGCCCACTAACTAGGGCTCTGGTTTGGCCTACTGGTTCCTTCCCTGCCCTCCACCTCTAAGGGAAGTTCAGCCATTGTTGGATGAGGTTCTTGTTTTTATTTTTATTTTTTTAATTTTTTTAATCCTCACCTAAGGATATTTTCCATTGATTTTTAGAGAGAGCGGAAGAGAGAGGGAAAAACAGAGAGAAATATCGATGTGAGAGAAACACATTGATTGGTTGTCTCCTGCACGAGCCCCAACCAGGGCCGGGGCCGGGAAGGAGCCTGCTACTGAAGTATGTGCCCTTGACCAGAATTCAACCCAGGGCCCTTTGGTCCGCAGGCCAATGCTCTATCCACTGAGCATTGTTCTCGTTTTTATTTCTGATATTCTGTGGTGCAGAATCCATAGTGTTACCAAAAAAATTAATGCAACTAAGAAAAGAGCAAAACAAAAATGTTGTTCACAGAATCCTGTCACACAACACTGCACTACGACTAAATATACCACAGAGGCTGCAGCTTCGTTTGCGTTATATGAGCAAACTGGCTCAAAGGAAAAAAAATAAAGGTAGGAAAAGGAAGTGGTCCAGTGGTAAGCTCTACATCCAGAGCACAAAATGGGTGCACATTTGACCCTGAGCTTCAGAGCAGCCAAAGCATCGAGGGGTACAGCCTATGGGTTGCCCACACGAGTTATGAAGTGAGACCAGCTGAACTCAAGTGCTGGGCCCCCCCCCTACTTCTTAGCAGTGTGGCCTGAGAAAGTTAACGTTTTGGGGCCCCTGTCAAATGGGAATGCTAATGGTACCATCTTCATGGTCTATTTGAAGGAGCAAAAAACAAAACAACCCTGTGAGGCACTATGTGCAGACACTGGCACACAGTCAGCACTAAGTCAGTGGCAGGCAAAGGTCTCAGAGTCTATCTGGTAAACACAGGCCCTAGCTCATGAGAACCACAAATCTTCCTGTCATGGAGCCCAAGAGAAATTCCCCCACAAGTGATTATGTAGAGGCCCTGGAATGAAGTCATGGACAAGGGCCTCAGTAGCATCCGCATGGTGAGTGTGACAGCAAGTATCCCATGGCGGCCACTTGTGACATCTCTCAGCCTCATGGCATCATATGTATGTGCAGTCCACAGAGGCCCAAAGGAGTGGCTTGATCCATGTGTAAAATACAGCTCAGTGTTTCCATAACTTAGCCTCAAAAGCATAATATGCTACCACAAGATTCTACATCAAATGGAGGAGGAATTTTTCATCCCGTTCTACCAATGGGCAAACTAAGGCCCAGAGAGGGCAGATGAATTATCTATGGATGCCCAACTTGTACGTGGTAAAACCAGTGAAGTGCCAGGTCTCCTGGCTCTCATGCCAGGCTGACTGAACAGCAGAATCTTCCAGAGAGCTTGTTAAACTGACATGAACTCAGGCCCGCACCTCAAGGATCTGACCCCAGGGCTCTTCGACTCTATGCCTCTCTCTGCTTTGAAGCTCAGAGCCAAATTAACTGGAGATCCCAAACTCAGTGGTTCTAACGTGGGGCCAGTCATTTAAAAAAGGACTGTCTGGACTTCTTCTGGCAGCTTTTTCTGAAGGAACTTTATTACAAGTGTACAGAAGTCAGAGGCCATGGAAAAATCAATCCAAGATCCTGGGAAGTTCGCCCACATTTGAGTGGCATAAGCCCCACCCCTGGGCAGCTGTGGCTTCACCATGACTCTTGTGAGTCTCCCTCTCAGTTTCCTATCTGTGGGCCTCTGGGGTACCAAGGACCAGCAGTGGCAGGGTATTTCCTGAGGCTCAGGAGCTGATCTAACTCCTGCTACTTCTAGGCCAGGCTCAGGATACTCCCCCACTAGAACCAATCCAGCCCAGAGGGTCCCTGGTGGAGCAGAGAGCAACCTGGTCTCCAGTCAGGAATCCAGTGATGGAAGAACTCTCACTTAGCGGCTTATCTCTGTACCTCCAGCCCTCTTCTGTGTGTAAAGCACTAGGCATAATAACTGACATGCAGCAGATGCTCAGTGAACACCAGCTACTATTATTAGTAGCAGGAGGTTCTTAAATCGCCATGGAAATACCTCTCGGAGACCTCTCTTTCCCAGGGGTTCTGAAGCTCTTGAAATCCCAACCATATGTTATCCCCACAATGAACTCTATGGCAAGGCAGAGAGAGAAAGGGCGAGAAGCTCCCTGGGGCCACACACCTCCCATCTGTACAGGCCAAGAGGAGTTTCTGCAGTTGAACAGGAGACCAGGACCCAAGGGAAATACAGAATCATATAGCCTCTCAGGAATATTACACCTCAAGTTGGTGTTTACTGTATTACGATTATGAAATTGTAACATTATACTTTGAATTCTCCTATGATTCCTGGACTGCCTTCCTCCCAACCTGTTCCTTAGCTCCCACTTTCAGAAGAGTCAAGGTCAAAAGAAACCTCTTGGGAAATAAGAATCTGAGCCTTTTCTCCAACCCAGATTCAGACTCAATAAATATTTCCATGGGAGTGGGATATTTAGAAGAAAATACTTTGTCGGGACTCATTGAAAATTGTCCGTGGTAGATTGTCCAATTGGGGGCTACGCTGTATACTTTATATATGGCATATAGTTTAGATAACCTTGAAAAACCCTCCCATTTCAAAACACTCTAAAACACCGGATAAAATATAACAAACGTTGCTTTATATGCATAGCTGAGCTCGCAAGAAAGCAAGATAAGTCCCCAGGGGACAAAAGCAAAGAGGAAACTGGAAATTCAGAATATTAACTGTGTGAGCCAATGCTGCAAACAGCCTAGTGGAGGTGGAAGGGGAAGGGGGGGGGGGGTTGCTGGTCTCAGTAATCAAAGGGCTTAGGTTTTAGCACCCACTTGGGGGCAGCTGTAAGGCTCTGGGCCCACAGGAAGCACGGAACCAAATGAGAACCTGCATAAAAGTAGGAAAAGAGAAAACCTTTGATGAAAAGTAAACTAGGGAAAAATGTTATTAGCACAGACTGATGAGAAGGAAGCTAGCCCATAGTCTAGGCACTGTGGGAAAGGGAAAGGAAGCAAACCTTTTAAGAATTTGTACCTACAAGCTAATCTTCTCACAGACACAGGCTTCTGTGTCTGCATGGGCCTGCAGGGGCCAGACCCACCTAAATTAAAATTTAACATAAAATGGTCCCAGACCAAGAATTTTCTAATTGTCTAATAGAAGCCCAAAATATTTTCTGGGGGAACTACTCCTAACCCAGGCTCAGGATTCTCACAGATAAAGCTCCATTGAAGAAGAGCTAATTTTTTTTTCCTAAAGATGAGCTAATATTAAACTGAGAGACAGACAACCTCTGACATGGCCCCTAATGATTTCCAACTGCTGGCATTCACACCCTTATGCATCCCCTCCCAGTGAGTGTGAACTAGACTTATTGGCCCACTACTAATTAATAGAATATGGCAGATACAATGGAATGTCACTTCAAAGATTTGATTACAAAAAGATTGTGGCTTTCATGTTGGATACCTTCTCTTGCTCTCTCTCAGAGCCTTTGCTCTGGGGAAAGTAAGCTGTTATGTTGTGAGTAGCCCTATGGTGAGTCCCACATGTCAAGAAACTGATGCCTCTGGCCAACAGCCTGCAAGATCTGAGGGCTGTCGACAGCAAATCTTCCTCCAGTCAAGCCTTAAATGACTGCAGCCTTGCTAACACCTTGACTGGAGCCTGTGAGACACTGACCCAGGTGGCACCCAGCTATGTCGTGCTCAGATTTCTGGCCCACAGAAACTGTGAGATAAGAAATATTTGTTGTTCTAAGACACTGTGCTTGGGGTAACGCATTATGTAGCAATATATAACTAATACAAACTATGACACAAACAAGAACTAAACTTCCTGAGAATTCAAGGTTTACCTGTAACAGCAGCTAGTGTTACCTTAGCTCAAACAGATTAGCTTTTAATCTATGCTTAAAATTTCTAAAACTTAAAAGATAAAACTGAAAATATAAGAAGAGACTAAAAGCTTTGGAAAAAAAACTATGAAGATTTAAAAAGGAACCAAATCAGATTTCTAGAAATGAAGGGGAAAAAAAAGACAGTGAAATTAAAAACGCAATGAGTTAAACAGTAGATGAGACACAACTGAAGAAAAATTTAGTGAACCAGAAGATACCTCTGAGAAACTTACCAGATGGGAGCACAGAGAGGCAAAGAGGTGGAAAAAATGAAGGAGAGGTTAAGACATGTGGAGGAAAGAATAAGAAGTCCCACATACAACTAATAGGAGTCTCAGAGGAGAGACCAGATAGAATTTGGAAGAGGCAATACTTGAAGAGATAATAATGATGGTAGTTGAGAAATTTCTAGACTTCCAATTTCAGGCATGACAGAGAAAGGAGAACACCAAATCCTATCCCACATGGAAAAAACTGCCAAAAACAATTATTTCATCACTGAAAATCAATCAAAGAAGCATTTATCAACGAAAAGTACTGAACTTTGGGTAAGAACAGCATGAATCTGTGGTATCCTTGCCTGGAGCTGCGCCCATTACCCCCAGCTCCCAGCTCTATTAGTTGCAATAGTTCAACAAGGGTGGAGCAGGCTGTGAAAACTAGCTGTTTCAGTGCTAATGGCGAAGGGACCTCACCTAATTGGAGCATCGTCTGTAGACTGGAGTGTCAAAAACAGGAATAGCCAGCAGCATTGGGAGGCTGAGGTTTTGGCACTGTTTGGGGCAAGCTATGGACTGGCAGACTAACCAGGAATTTAATGGGGAGTTCCAGGTGGGGGGTGAGATAGCCATAAGCAGTTTGATAAGCTCTCCACATATCCTGGGTTAACTAGAGGCTGGGTGCATGCACACCAGAAACCAGAGAGGCCCTGAGTCAATGGAGTCTGTGCACATGTGCAAAGGAAACACAAGAGAGCCTGGTGAAAAGTAAAAGCCAGGGCAGACCTGAAAACAGTCTGGAGATTATACTTCCCAGGCCATACATAGAATTACAGCAGAGAGAAGAAGTCTTACTGGCGTGTGGTTTTGAGCATAGCCTCTCACCAATTTCTGGCTGAACAGTAAGCTATGCAGACACAGGGCAACCCCTGGGAAACCAGGCTTAAAAATAAAAACAAGAATAAAACTGATGGAGACAGGAGAGTTTGCATTTGGCAGGGAAGATGGATTTTACATATTTAGTCTTGGGATCAACAAATAAACGAAACAATAACAACTTTCAAGAGGTAAAGTAAGAATCTAGAGTTGCTATAATATATTACCTAAAATGTTTAGTATTCAACAAAAAATTATGAAATATTCAAATAAATAAGAAAATTTGCCCAAATGTTTGATTGATCAAAGACTACAAAGCAGCTATTATAAATATGTTCAAAGAAGTAAAGGCAGTCATGTTGGAAGATTTAAAGGAAAGCACTGCAACAATGATTTAATGAACATAAAATCCTAACAAAAAGCTAGAAATTATTTTTTAAAGAAGAAAAAATAAACAAATGAAAATTCAGAAGCTGAAAAGTACAATAACGGAAATAAAATAATTTACTAGGAGGGCTCAGAATAAGATATAATCAGTAAACTTGAAGCTTGATCAGTATAAATTACCCAATCTGAAGAATAGAGGGGAAAAACACTAGAAATGAACAGAGACTCAGAGACCTATGGGACAACATTAAGTATACCATGTACATGTAATGAGAACTTCAGATGAAGAGAGAGATAAAGGGGAATAAAAAATATCTGAAGAAATAATGGCCAAAGAAGTTCAATGAACCCAAAGTGGGTTAAACCTAGAGATCTATATCCAGGCACATTACAATCAAAATGTTGAAAGTTGAAGATATTAATAGCAGCCAAGAGAAAAACAATTCATCACATACAGAAAAACAATATGATTAACAACTTGCTTTTCATCAGGAGCTATGACCTCTGAAGACAGTAGAATAGTACATTCAAAGTGCTAAAAGAAAAAAAACTGTCAACCAGGAATTCTAGATCAGCAAACTATCTTCCAAAAATGAAGTAAAAATACATTGCCAAATAAATATAGAATAATAACTGCCAGCCACTGTGATATTTGGTGGGAAGAAAAATGAAGAAAACTCAACTGACCCAAAAGAAGGCAGCAAAGGAGTAAAGAAGCATCACTGGCCGGCCGGCGTGGCTCAGTGGTTGAGCGTCAACCTATGAACCAGGAGATCAAGGTTGGATTCCGAGTCAGGGCACATGCCTGGGGTTGCGGGCTCCATCCCCAGAAGAGGGCATGCAGGAGGCAGGTGATCAATGATTCTCTCTCTTCATTGATGTTTCTATCTTTCTCTCCCTCTCCCTTTCACTCTGAAGTCAATAAAAATACATTAAAAATAAAAAGAAGCATCACCCAAACAGCAGGATACATAGAAGGCACAAGGTAAGATGACAGAAATAAATCCAAGCATATCAGTAAATCACAATAAATATTAATGTACTACACTCTCAAGCAATTGTCAGAATGTAGATAAAATAAAATCTAGCTATGAACTATTTACAAAAGATATACATAAAACATAAGGAGACAAAATTCTTTTGAAATACGGAAAAAGAATGTTCTGGGAAAATACTAAAGCAAAACATAGACTTAAGGGCAAAAAAAATTATTAAAGATAATAGAATGACATCTCTAGTGTGTTAAACCTGTTTCTTCTTCTGTGAAGCAAAGATTATAAGCTATACCTCCCAGGAGAAATATGAAATGTATACACAAAGTGCTAAGAAGAAGAAAATAAAAAACAGAGAAGAGGAATAGGAAATTTGGGGGTAGGAGAGGACTAAAATTTAGATTTTACAACATTTGGGGAAATACTTGAAAGAACTGAGAGAGAGATCCAGGCAGAAAGAATAGTAGATGCAAAGGCTCTAAGACTGGTGTCAGAGGAGCAACAAGGGGACCAGTATGGCTGGAGTAGGTGAGGGGAGGGAACAGTGCGAGAGAGGAACTCAGAGGTAGCAAGGGCCAGATTATGCAGGGCCTTATATGTCATAGTAAAGTCCTTGAATTTTCCTCTAAGTAAGGTGAGGGTTTTGAGTGAGTATAATTCTATTTTTAAGTGATTGTTCTGACTATATTGAGAGAGAACAAGTGCAAGAGACACACTAGAAGGCAGTGCAACAGTCCAGACAAAAGAACATGGTGGCCTGGACCGGAGTGGTGACAGTGGAGGCAGTGGGGAGTGGTGGGATCCTGGGTGCACTTTGAGGGTGGTACCAAAAGGATTTGCTGCAAGATTGGCTGTGGGATGGGAGAAAGAGAAGGAAGTCAAGACTGACTCAAGTTTTAGAGCAGAGCTCCTGGAAGGATAAAGTTGCCAGTACCTGAAATGGAGAAGACATTGGATGGAGCAGGAAATTTGGGGGGAAAGGGTATCAGCAGTTTAGTTGTAGACATCTTGATTTGAGATGTCTGCTAAATATCCAAGTAAGATTTTAATATCCCATTAGATATACATGCCTGGCATTTATGGGAGGGTTTGAGCTGGAAATATACATTTGGGAGTTATCAGGCTCTCGATAATAATCAAAGCCATGAGCCTGGATGACAGGAGCTCACCTAAGAAGTAAGTGTAGAGAGAAATTGAAGAACTAAGCCCTGAAAAACTCCAATGTTCAGATCCTGGAGCGTTGTAGGCACGGACTGAGAATAAGCAGTCAGAGAGAGAAGAACCTAAAAGGTGTGGTGTCCTCAAAGCCAAGTGAGTAAGGTGTTTCGGGAAGGAGAGAGTCATCAGCTGTGTTAGATGTTGCTGATGGGTCAAGTGACACAAGAATTGTGCATTAACTAGTGGCTTTAGCCACAGAGGCTGGTCTGATGTGAAAAGAGAGCTGTGCCAATCAGATTCCCTGATTCAGGAAATGTAACAAAGAGACGCTGAGAGACTGCAGCAGCCGACAATAGGAGCCAATGGGCCAGCCTTTGGCATTGCCTTGGCATTGCTTTCCCCCCCAGCAAACAGTAGAAACAGCTAACCTTTATGGGCTGTTGGCTCTGTGCCAAGAACACTATTATGATGTCTATTTTTAAATAGGAAAAATGGGGCTCAAAAAAGTCAAGTAACTTGCCCCAGGTCACTCAGCTTGGTAAGTAGCTGAGCTGGAATTCAAACCCCTCTCATGCATTTAATTACTAAACTGCATTGCTTCCCTTTAGTCGAGGGAAAGTCTACACTTAAATATAGAACTCGAAATTATAAAACAGCAATTTGGGGCCAGGTACCTTGGGTTTGCATACATTTTCTCACTGAATACTCACAAAACCCCTGCGAGAGAAATACCACTACTCTTGTCATTTTACAGATGAGAAAACGGAGGCCTTGAGAGAACGTCTTGCTGGTGGTCCCACGGGGGCAGGTGGTGGGGAAAGCACTCAAGCCCAGATCATCTGAGACTGCAGCTCTGCCCGTCCCATCTGTACAACCAATCCTACCTTTTGCAGGGGGTGGGCTTGGAGCAACCAGGCCAGGGCAGGGCTGGAGAACTGAGAAAACTGAGGGTGCCCTTACATGCTCATCACGTTGAGGACACTCGGTTTTTAAGAGTGACTCTGAGATCCCCAATCTAAGTCAGTTCCGGGAGTCCCAAGGCCGGCTTCCCAGTTCCCCCAGAATCAGACGTGCACTCTCTCCCTGGCCAGACCTTTGATTTTAAGGCCAAGACTGAACCCCCTTCCCACCCTTTCCTCCAGGCATGCTGGGCCTCCCCCTACCTGTCCGGTGGTGAGGGAACGGCTGTAGCCAGGGATGGAGCTCCGGGGATGGATCCGGGGTGGGACGCAGCAGCTGGGAAAGGTCAAAATTCCAGATTCAGAATGGGGGTCTGTGAGGAGGCAGGGGAGGGGAATGAGAGGACTGGGGGCCCTGAGCAGGTTCTACCCCTCAGAAACCCCCAGACAAGATCCCACAGAAGACTCCTGGGTAAAGGGACTCTCTCAAAGAGGCACTCAGATAGGGGCTATCAGAAGGACCCCTTCTTTCTTTTCTTAGTATAATTATATATTTTTTAATTTAAATTAATTGTTTAAAGTATTGCATAAGTCTCCTTAGAACAGTGGTTCTCAACCTGTGGGTCGTGACCCCTTTGGGGGTCGAACGACCCTTTCACAGGGGTCGCCTAAGACCATCAGAAAACACATATATAATTACATATTGTTTTTGTGATTAATCACTCTGCTTTAATTATGTTCAATTTGTAACAATGAAATTGGGGGTCACCACAACATGAGGAACTGTATTAAAGGGTCGCGGCATTAGGAAGGTTGAGAACCACTGCCTTAGAAGGCCCTCTTCTTTCTATGGAGCAGACTGATACTCCCCAGTTGAACCTTACACAGGGAGCAGACTGGTACTCACTCTACACACACCTCCTGCAGGGATCCAGTATCAGCTTCCCACTCCCCCTACCCTCCACCCCTCCCTCACCTCCCCTCCCAGTCCTTACTTGATCCGGGCCTGGTCCACACTGGAGGAGCGGCGGGAGGCAAAGCGCCGGGCCAGCGCTTTGGGAGATGTCTTGGGACTGCCATCCGAGTCTCCACTCTCCTCATCCCCCATGGCTTTGATGTAGCTGCCGCTCCGCATCCTGCGACAGGGGATCTCTCCATCCTTGCCCCCAGTGGGGTAACCCCCCCAATCATCTTGCGGCACCTGCAGGAACAGGGGCCTCTGTCTCTCAGACACATCCCTATGGAATCTGAGGCCAGGACCCTCTTCTCCACTGCCGGTGGGAGGCGCTCTACCCTGGCTTGGGCAGGCCACACTCGGGAGCATGCAGATTCAGAGCAGGAGGCAGACCTCCCTTCCAGGAGATGCCTCGTTATCCTGCATGGACCTGGTGCTACTTAATTGAGGGCAACCTAGAGCAGCGGTCGCCAACCGGTGGTCCGCGGACCACTGCTGGTCCGTGAGGTCCGAAAGGTTGGTGACCGCTGCCCTAGAGAGTCTGGGTGGACAGTGACATGTAGGTGCCAAAAGGTCAAAGATCAGAGGCCAAAGTGACCTCTGTCAACCCACCCTCATCAGCGAAGTGTCACCTGACCTCAGTCACCTTTCACCTTTCCTTGTCCTTCATCCTCATAAGCTGCTTATATCCCCAAATCTCCATCTCTCCTCCCTTTCCTCTGTGAGGAGCCATAGAGGGTTTTAAGGAGGGGAGTGACATCAGATTTGTGTTTCAGAAAGAGCATTTTAACAGTCCAAACAGAGGATAGATTGTGAGGGCCAGGAGTAGGGCAGAGGCGCAAGTGGCAGAAGAGACCAATTAGGAGGCTGATGCTGTTCTCCAGGCAAGAGATGATGAGGCCTAAATTAAGACAGAGGCAATGAGGGGAAGAGGAGATGGAAATGAGAGGTGTTGAGGAGCATCAGTGAACCTGATTAGATGTGGGGGATGAGGGGGCAGGGAAGAGTTGAGGATGACTGGAGGCTGCTGGCTGAGGACCTGGGGGATGGTGCTGCCGCTCACTGAGCCACAGAATCCCAGAGAAACAGGTGGGGGAAGGTGAAAGCTCAGGGTTGCGCATGGTGAGTTTGGCAGAGGACTGTCGAACAGGTGGTTGGATGTTTGGTTCTGCAATTCCATGGAGAGATCTGGGCTGGAGGCAAACGTGTGGGAGTCGTGGGCAGCAGCTGAATCCACAGGAGTGAATGAAAGTACCCAGAGGGTGAAAGAAGGAGCTGGGGAGGAATTGCTGACATTTAAAAGGGGGCTGCAAAGAAGGGAAGAGGAGCCTGTGAAGTCACCTGAGAAGGAGTGGGCAGAGGGGTAGGAGGGAAGTCAGGAGAATGACATGTCGTGGAAACAGGAGACATTTCAAGAATAAAAAGAGTTGATAATGTCAAATGTCAAGTGCATTCAGAGGTTAGTAATTCAAGCTCAGGAGTTAAACAGATCTATGTTCAAATTCTGGGCCCGCGACTTGCTAGCTAGGTGACCTTGAGCAAAACTGATCAATCTCTAGGCCTCCGTTTCCTCATCTGTGAATTGGTAATGATAATTATGCCTACATCGCAGGGTTGGTGGGAAGGATAAATGAGCCGTATAGAATACCAGCACATAGTAAGTGCTCAATATGTGTTAACTATTATTATTATAAGCATTGGAAGGTACCTTTCAAGGAAGGCTGGCAAGAGACCACTGTCAGGACATTTAAAATCCCTTTTTAGATGTCAGTGGATTCCTCTCCAGACTGTAGTAAAGGAGAGGATGAAAAGAAGTGAAGAAGTGGGGTCTATGGTCTAATAACCTGGATATGAAGGGAAGTTGGGAGATGGAAGGGGGAATAATGTTGATGAAAAATGTGTGGTTGTTTTTGTGTGTGTTTTTTGGATGAGAGACTTGACATGTTTTCAGGACCAGTGAAAAAGCCCGTAAAGATAGTCTTTAAATGTGGGGAGAGGGCGGACAGACAGTTCGGGGATGGAGGGGACCCTAGGGAGACCGGCTTAAGCCCACTAGAGGTATCAGCCCGGGATGGGTGGTCCTGGCGTCTCTTGAGCCAAGAAGGAAGGGATGAGGGTGGCTGGGGATCTACATGAGTGGGCTGACAGAAAAGTGAGGGAGTCCATGCTGGTTGGCTTACACTGTAAAGAATGAGTGTAAATGAAGGTGTGGGGGAGACAGCTGGGGCAGGGAGGGAAGATTTAAAACACCTATTATAAAAAAAAAAAAAACAGGTTAAATTGGGGTGGGACTGGAGGTCTGAGGGGTCAGGGTTCAGGGGAGGGACACAGACTCTGGGATGAAGCTAGGTGAGGGGACAGAGACCAGGGATGGGATGGGACCCCATGAAGGAACCCATGCAGAGACAGGGTTGAGGGAGAGCTGCAGACTGGTGAGAGGAACAGGGTCTCAATAAAAGGGCTGGGAATCCATCAAAGACACCTACTCTGATGGGGTCAGCTTCTCATTTTTGTGTCAGGGGAACACCAAGCTGTCTGGAGGGTCCCTGCATCCCCTTGTCCTCCCCCAAATGGGTTCAGACCTCCTAGTCATAAGATGCCCTAGAACCCCAGACCCTGATGGATCATTCCCCTTCTCCATACTCTACAGAGAGGAGCCACAGGCAGGCAGAGAGAGGCAGGCTAGCAGATGGGAAAGCCAGGGCGTGCTCTGTCACACTGCAGGGCTCCCACTCCGTAGCCGCTGCTGCAGGACACTGTGAGGTGCATATTAACAAGGAAGCCCCCAGGGAGGTCAGGGCAGCCCTGGAGTAGCAGCAGGGAGCAGCGGAGTGGTGGTGAGGCTCCAGAAATGACGAGGGCTCGGTTATGGGAGAAGGGTCAGTACTCCCTCCTTGGCCCTTTTTATGGACCCTTCAACTGCAGCTTAGAGAACCTCTCTACCCAGGGAGGGGGCAATCCAAGGCCAACCCAGAAGTCCTGAATCCTAGCAGTCTCCAACCTCCCTTCTGCCTCCCACCACTTCTGGCTTCCACTGTGACCCATTTGTTCCCTTGAGCTTTCATGAGCTCTCCACCCAGGAGAGTCCTAACGTGTGAACAACTTACCAGGAAGACCAGTGACACCCAAGAGACACATGCAAGCTCAATTCTCATCCCTCTGACCGTGCTGTGGCTTCTTCCTGAAATACCCTCACTCCACTTCTGCACTGAGATTCAGCTCAGAGGACATTCTTCCCAGAAGCTGCTTGGCCACCATCATCCCGGGGCAGGTGAGATGTCTCCTCTGTGCTCTCTCCCATCCCAGCCTTCTTTCACTGTACGCTATCTGCTGCCTTATCTGTCCCACCTCTAAACAGCTCCTCCCAAGCAGCATCTGTGTTTTCATCTTTGTATCCACAGGAAATGCTCACTGAATGAATGGCTGTGGATTAACTATATGGAATGTGGGCTTGGGAGGTAACCCTAAGTCTGCTGGACTTCAGAATTTGTATTGATTTTTCCTCCTAAAACTATGGGAAGGCTCAAGAAAAGAGCTCAGGGGGTATGTGAGGGGTGTCTGAGACAGAAAAGAGCAAGGTTGATGGTGAGATGAGCCCTGACCCCATCTCAGTAAGGAGATGGAGAGTGGACAGTGTGGGATGGATGAAGGCTCCATAAGAAGAAGGGGTCAGAGCTTTTAGCCTCATCTGCAGAGACCATGGACAATGGTGAGACCGGATGGGGACAGCAAGCCAGCTATTAGCTACACCATCCAATCCCAGGAAGCCCTGTTCCTGGCTCAGACTCCGGTGTGTCCCCCAGCCTAGGAAAACCCAGGGGACAGGCTCCCAGGGCTCTCCCACAGCCTCACGGGTATCCTACCACAGGCACCCCAGAATGACAAACTCCACAGAGGAACATTCTAGAAATGACCTTCATATTCAAACAATATCTGGACCACCCAGATTTGAGAGAAGGCCTGGGGCAGGAGAGCTACTTTCCAACTGCTGACCTCCAATCTTAAGGGAAGCTACAGCCAGGGAGCACCATGCTGTCCTGTCCACGGCCTACCCTCAACCTCATTCTGCCTCCAACCTCACAAGACAGGCCAGCACAGCTTGTCCAAAACAGCAACTCAAGGGGAAGCCCTCCTGGCACTGCCACACATCATCAAAATCAAAGCGCCCCTTCATTGCACAAATGGGGAAACCGAGGTCCCAAAAGTGGCTCAGGGTCTTACAGAATGAAGCAGGGCAGAACCTCCCTGCATCTAGACGCTCTATCATGGCAACAGCTGGCTCCCATCCAACCCTTTCCAGAGCTTACTGGGTGACAACACTATGAGGGTATCTGTTCCCCACCCCCACCAAGCCTCACCTGCAGATAATGATAAGTCCTGGTTTTGGCCTTGGCCTCTGGACCCAGGAGCCCCTTGCCTGGCCCGGCCCCTGGGTATCCATCCCGGCCCTGGCTCACCATCATGGTATGCCAGGCATTTCGCTTAACTGATTGTCCATCCAGTGACATGGACATGCCAGTGCAGGCCAGACAGCGGCCTTCCGACCCGCCTGAGCGCCCCTTGAAGCTCAAGTCCCGGTAGGACCCATCTGGAGCCTCCAAGCAGAAGGGACCACCTGGCTCCCCAGGAGGCCGCCCACCCGCTAGGAAGCCACTATCACTGTCCAAGTTGTCGTCGGAGCTCCACCAGCCCCCGGCCTTGGCCTGGTGCCGCCCATCGCCCTTGCGGTCCTTGCTCTTGCTCCTCTTGCCATGCCGGGTCTGGTGGTGGTGGTGGTGGTGATGGTGGTGGTGGTGGTGGGAGGTGTGGGGGCCTCCGGAGCCTGGGCCAGGGTAGCTGTCTCCCCCAGAGCCACCTCTTCCATCAGCCTTGGGCCCATTGTAGTCCCGCTTCCCCGGGGCCTCCAGAGAGTGGGACTTGGCAAAGAGCTTCTGCACGGAGTGAACAAGGTGCCGGATGCGGCTGGGGCTCTCGCTGCGGGCCTCCGGGGCAGAGCCAGACCCCGGCCCAGGCCCGGGCCCGGCCCCTGCTGGACCTCGCTGGTAAGGTAGCGTGTGGAAGCCATCTTGCTGAACTGGCAACTGCTTTTCAAACTGGTCCAGGAGTGTAGGAGGCAGGCGGGGGGCACCCTTGCCCTGTGGGTGGCCCACACAGTCTTCACAGGTGTCGAAGGGGCCCTGGCCGGGGTACATCCTGGGGAAGGTGCTGCTACCCCCCCCAATTCCAGTCCCCCCTGGCCCTCCCTCAGGGCCTACTGATGGCCCCTCACTCAGGCTCAGGGGCCCTTCCGGAGAAAGGTGTCCCAGGCCAGCTCTTGGGGCACAGAAGCGGGGCTCGGTGGAGAAGGCCTCCCCGGAGCCCAGCAGGTACGGGGCCCTGGCAGCTGGGCCCACGTCCATATGCTGCTGGTCAGCAAAGCGGGTTGGGCGGGGATGGCTGCCTCGGTCGCCATGGTAACCCCTCATGGCCTCAGCAAGGGCTCTTCATAGTGTTGGGGGCCAGGCCCCAAGAACCTCCTGGGAGACAGGGAGAAAAGGGATTCAGACTGAACAATAGGCCACTTTACCTAAAACTATCTTTTATTAGGATTCTGGTATCCCTTTAGGTAATGCATATCAATTTATGGAGATTAATTGTACTATCTTTCCACAAATGGACTTAAAGTCCTTAAAAGAATCATGCTAGACAAAGACACTCACAAGGGCACAAAATAATACTGTCATTCATCAAATGCTGCAAATCTGATAAATATTTATTCACAAAAGGAAATGCCTGCAGCCAAATGGCTGTGTTTTTTTTTTTAAAAAAATCCCAGGGTTACCAGAAATAAAAGGATACCCAAACAGATGTACAAAACATTCAAAGAAACCAGTCATTAAGTGAACTGGCTTTTAACAAGCTGACTTTAGGCAAATTGGTCCAGGGACACACCTTCTGACCCATCCCTACCCACTTCCACTGTTGTGAAGAGCCAGGCCCCAGGGTCGCAACTCCCAGCAGCAATAACCAAAGAGAATATACAGACCCAAATCTAAATATCCAGCTTGATTATGCAGGAAAACCCCTCCCCTTCCTTTCACACCCAGTTCCTTCCATCTGGCTGCAGGCTCATTCTCCCTCTCCCCAAGACTGAGGTAGGAAGGAATAACCTAAGATGACTCCTTTCCTCTTCCGGATTTCAAATATTCCCCCCTGGAATTTCCCCTTTGGCCTGTTACCCCTACCTGCCACCCCCATTCCACTAAAGGGGAATCATGAAGGGTGCAGAGACCATAAATGGGAGGAACGCTGGCTGTACAAGGCAGCGTCTGAATCCTAAACTGGGATTGGAACCCAGGAGTTCCACCTCCCAGGAACAGCGGGCTCGCAGGGCAGAAAGTGATGGAGAGAAAATGTTGAAAGCAGTGCCCCTGGCCCCCTTCCCAGGCTGGCCACGGCTACAGGACAGAGAGGTCAGCTCTCAGCAAGAACTGCCTCCAATCAGGACTCCAGAGCTGCCAGGACAGGAGCTATGGCAGGAGGGGGTGACAGCAGGAGGAACGGGGACTGAGATGCTGGCAGACGGCGCCCTCCCTCATCCCAGACCAGGCTCCTGGGCCATCTGCTGACCAGGAGGGGATGACAGCATCAAAGACTCCAGACAACAGCCCCTTCAAGACTCATCCTCCCTTGCTCCCCACCCACCACCTCCTAATATCCATCGTGTTTCAGCCTTCCTCCAGATCCTACTCACAGCTCATCTCCTACTATTTCCCAACCACTTGCTATGTACCAGGTGCTGTGCATAATATTCTCTAATCCCACTGAAATCCTGTGTGTCGATATTATCCACATCTACCTGTGAGAAGACCGAGCTCAAAAGGTAAGTCACAAAGCCAGTGAGTGGGTGAGTCACTTTAAATCAAGATTCAAACTCAAGTTAATTCTGGTTTGAGAACCTCAATCTAATCCCCATCTCCCAGACTCTCCCACCAGACTCACCATCCTGGGTGTCCCATCTTTGGTGTCAGGATCCTCACCACCAGGCAGAATCCTAACTTCAGAAGGCTCAGGACCACTGGCTCCTGATGAAAAAGAAAAGGATGGTGAAGAGAGCAAAGGACAGTCTCCCAGAGTCCTCAGAGAACCAGCCTCTGGCTTTGCCCATTTCCGTTCCCAACCCCCCAAACCAGGACTGATTGTATCTCCCATGATGCAGAGCCTTTGGACCCCTAGGGAAATGTGGTTGGCTTCATTATGCAAATACATGGAAATGAGCTTACAGGTTGGACTACCTCCAACTGCAGGTGTCTTAGTGATCTGTCCATGGTGCTGAGCCACTGCATTTTCATTGCCCTCCAATATGATTCCATTTCACTAAATTTTGTTCAGCCGCTACCATAAACCAGATTCTGAGTGAGAAGTGTATAAAGGTGATGTAAGTGTGATCCCTGTCATCGAGGGGCTTATAATCTAACAGGGGAACAACCTCTTACATAACAGGGTTATTTTAGGTCGTTGTATTTTCACACAAACTGGTCCCTCCTCCTAGAATTTCCTTTCATCCACCTCCCTACCCCAACCCTTCCCCTTTCCCACTTGCTCATATTAAGCCCCACCTTCCCTCAAAGACTTTCTGTACTCTTATTCTGGGTTATGCCTCTCTATTGGGCTTTTATAACACCCCGGGTTCCCCATGAAAGCAGCTATCATACTGCATAGAAATTGTCTGCTTCCGTTTCTGTCTCCCCCCAACTAGAATGTGGTCTTATGCAGGGTAGGAACCAAATGCTATTTATCTCTGGATCTCTAGCACCTAACTCAGGGCTTTGCCCAGAGCAGGTCCTTAATAAATATTCACTGTGTAGATGAATAAATGACTATGCTGGAAAGAGGTAGCAAGATGCTAGAATAGTTCAGATGAGAGCAAGACCAGATGCAATAAGGGGAAATTGAGGAAGACTTCCCAAGGCAGAGTGTGTTTGAGATGAGAACAAGATGGCCCTCCCAGCTCCAGTTTCAGATCGCTGTGTGTTCCACAGACAAAGGTGGGGCAGGAAGATAGAACTCCCAGTGGTGGAAATAACAGGCACAAAGGCAGAAGAGGGGGCCAAATAAGGAATTCTGAGGGATGGGGTAGGAGGGTTCCAGCAGACATTTAAGGTTTGGCAAATACTTTCAAGAGGTGGGAGAGAGAGAGTCAGAAAGAAAGACGACTCTAAATTTTGCAACAGCCGTGACTGGAAGACTAATGATGCCATTATTAGGCACAGGGATATCAGGGAGAAGAGCTAGCTTTTCGGGCATGATTAATAGTAGTGGAAGAGCCCTGGCTGGTGTTGGTAAGTGGTTAGAGCATAGGCCCAAAGGGTCTCAGGTTTGATTCCCTGGTGAGGTCATGTGTGATCAATGTGTCTCACATCGATGTTTCTCTCTCTCTCTTTCTCTCTCTCTCTCTCTCTCTCTCTCTCTCTCTCTCTCTCTCTCCCTCCCCCCCCCCCCAAAACCAATGGGAAAAATATCCTCGAGTGAAGATTAACACACATGCAGAAAAAAGACTGAACTGATATAGATTTAATTACATAGGCTTTCTCCTTTGTATTATGTTTTACAATCACATTCCTCCTGATGCCATCTTATTACTAAACATAATCAATAAGAAGGAAAAACAAAGAGGAGATTAATAATGCAATCCATCACCAAGTCCTCTGGATTTTGCTTCCTAACAATAGATCTGCCCACTTATTTCCATATCCACCAAATCACTGTTAGCTGAGTAGCTAAAACTCACTCTCGACCTCCTTTCCCAGCCTCCCTTGGAACTAGAGGACTTATCATTCACTTTTGGCTAATGAAATGTATATAAAAATCAAATGAGTGTTTCTAAGGAAGATCTGGCCTTTGTGATAAAAAGGGTGAAGCTCGCTAGTATCATCTTTTCTTCTTGGCTTGAATACAACCATGATGCCAGAGCTAGGGCAGCTGTCTTGACAACAGGAGAGAAAAGCCTAGAGAATTGCAGAAACGCTAGTCTTGGAGTCATTGAGCCTGGGAACCAACACAAGCAGTTCCCTTCCTCCAGGCCTAAATGTGGTAAGAAATAAACTCTTTATTTAAATCACTGTTGGCCAGATTTCCTGTATTTGCAGCAGAAAGCACTGCTAACTAAATCCAACTACCTCCGAAACATCACCTCCTGCCTAGACGTCTGCAAAAGCTCCTAACTGCTGCCCCTGCTTCTATTCTTACCCTGATCCAATCCAAATGGTCATTTGATAACACAAATCTGATCATGTCACTTCTCTGCTTAAAACTCTTCATTGGCTTATTGATGTTCTTAAGATAAAACACCCTAACCTGTCCAACAAGGCCTGCAGGTCTGGCCCTTCCTACTTTCCCACCTCCTCTCACAACACGCTCCCCCTTACTTCCTCTGCTCCAGCCAGGCCAGTCTTTTGCAGTCCCAGGATCCCTCCCATCATGGGGCCTGTTCCCCCTGTCCAGAAAGCTTTGCCTGCCCACCTCTGCCTTGCTAACTCCTACACACCCTTCAGATCTCAGCCCAGTTGTTGCTTGCTCAGGGAAGCTTTCTCTGGCCTCCCTGACTAGGTCAGATCCCCCTGCTGTTTGCTCTCAAGGCACTATGGGCCTGGATAGCTCTTAAATCATTACCATTTTCAATTTGAGTGATGCAGAGATTGTCTGTCTCTCCCACTAGAATGTAAGCTCCATGTAAGTGCCGGAATTTCATCCATCTTCTGCACTGCATCATCCCCAACCACTAGAACAATGCCTGGCATGTGGCAGGTGCTTGTTGAGTGAATGTGAGCCTACAAAGAACAAGATCCCTCCACTTAGGACATTTTTATTTTATTCCCACACCTATTCCAAGGGAAAGATATTACTCCCCTCCCCAATTTACCGAAGAAGAAACCGAGGCTTAAAGAGGCTAAGGTCACAGAGTTGGTGGCAAAGCCAGCGTGGCCTCTCCAATGCCTTAGCTTTCCTCTCACCTGGGATGCCAGCCCAGAGAAGCCAAACGTATTAAACACCGCTCTGAAGTAAACACAGAAATGAAAATGAATTCTAGGAAAAGGAAACAAATAAAATAAACCTCCCACATACCACATACTCTAGAGCTAACCAGAGTGTGGTTTAGCCTTTTCCCCTGTGTGGTGAGTACTGAGTTTGTTCCAAGTCCAAGGTCAGATAAGTACAGAGTAAAGGAAGCTCTCTGCAGCCCTGTGACAACTCTGGGTGCCGGTGTTATGTTTCCCGTTTTACTGCTCCAAGTCATCTCTCTACAGTCCCAGGACACAGAACGCGGCCCCACATGGTGAACAACCTCTGGGCCCAGGGAAGCAGTCACTTCTGCAACTGCCTGTGGCTGGCTGGTGAGTGGGGAGTGATGGCGTCTGGGAGGGTGCCGCATGTGACAAATTCTCTGATGCAGCTCGAATCTATCTGGGAATGGAAGAAGTGGCACACATGCCGTCACCAAGAAATTACCCAATTTAGCACCAACTACACAATCCAGCAATTATTTCCTAAACCGGAACTTGCTGGGGGCTGCCAGGCTGGCGGGATTGTTGTTACAAATCTCACTGGGAAACCAGCTGTGTAATTCACCAGGAGGTTGTCACTGCCCCAAGCAATTACCTTCCAGAAAAAGAATGGAAAATGAGAGAAGGAAAAGGGTTGCAGAGGAAGAAGTCAGGGCGGTTTCCTCCCCCGGGGGCCCTGCCCAGCCAGATCAGTTGATGTTCCTTTCTTGAGACATAGGTGACTCACGAACTCCCTGGATCAAAGCAGTTATTGGTGTAGACTCTCTGGGTCAAGTCCCTTTCCACTCACTTACTCGCTATGTGTACTTGGGCAGAAGATTAAGCTCCCTTAGCCTATTTCCTCATCTGTAAAATGGGGATAGCCAACCAGATGGGAGATGATATTTGCAAACAGTAGCTCCAACAAAGGTTTCATTTACAAAATATATAAAGAACTCATAAAACTCAACACCAAACAAACAAATAACCCAATCAAAATGTGGGCAGAGGGCCTGAAAATACACCTCTCCCAAGAAGACATACAAACAGCCAATAGATATATGAAAAGATATTCAACCTTACTGGCAATTAGGGAAAAACAAATCAAAACTACATTGAGATACCACCTCACACTTGTTAGAGTGGCCATTATCAACAAGACAAGCAATGGCAAGTGTTGGAGAGGTTGTGGAAAAAAGGGAACCCTCATCCAGTGCTGGGGAATGTAGACTGGCAAAACCACTATGGAAAGCAGTCTAGTGGTTCCTCAAAAAATTGAGAATAAAGCTACCATATGACCCAGCAATTCCTCTCCTGGATATATACCCGAAAATCTCAAAATCGTGTCTTCGCAAAGATATATGCACCTCTGTGTTCATTGCAGCATTATTTGTGGTGGCCAAGACATGGAAGCAACCAAAGTGTCCCGAGATAGAGAACTGGATAAAGAAGCCCTAACCAGTTTGTCTCAGTGAATAGAGCATCGGCCTGCAGACTGAAAGGTCCCAGGTTCGATTCCGGTCAAGGGCATGTACCTTGGTTGCGGGCACATCCCCAGTAGGAGGTGTGCAGGAGGCAGCTGGTCAATGTTTCTCTCTCATCGATGTTTCTAACTCTATCCCTCTCCCTTCCTCTCTGTAAAAAAAATCAATAAAATATATTTTTTTTAAAAGAAGAAGATGTGGATCATATACACAATGGAATACTACTCAGCCATAAAAAAGGATGAAATAGCTCCATTTGCAATAACATGGATGGACCTTGAGAACACTATGCTAAGCGAAATACGTCAGTCAGAAAAAGCTAAGAATCATGATTTCACTCATATGTGAGATATAAAACTGAAACTTGTGAACACAAACAGCAGTGTGGTGGTTTCCAGAGGGAAGGAGGTGGGGGGGAAAGAGGGCCCTAATATATGGTGACAATACAAGATTTGACTTTGGGTGGTGGGCACATGGTGCCATATACAGATCTTGTAAGATAGAAACCCACACCTGAAACCTATATGTTCATGCTGACCAATGTCACCCCAATAAATT